TTCATACTAATGCATCATTTTGTGCAGTTAATGGCGGCAGAAGCGAAGGACGGCAGTGAAGACACTGAAATGATTCCTGCCGTCGATGCTGATAGTAATGAAAATAATCTTCAGCTGATTGCTGCACCTGATGTAGCTCCCACAGTGATTACAAATGTCCATACTGCTTCTTTCTGTATGGGGAATGTTACGAGCGGAGCTTCTTTAGGTAATTTGCAACTAGATAACATCACACCTGAAACCAAGAGCTTTGGGGCGTTGCCAGGCGCTACTGAGCAAGCAGATACAGTGATACCGGGCAATGGTGGTGGTCAGCAGCAAGTAAGAAAATCATTTGCCTTTGTTTGCTATATTTCTTCTGCTGTATCAGTACCTAAACAGCTCCATTGTTCAGGTAATAAAGGCAACAGTTCAAGTATCGAAGAGACCTACGGCTTTTGGTGCTCTGTTAGGAAAACCCTCTACCGCAAGAAGGCCAAATCTATTTCCAGGATTTTCAAGTGACCAGGTATTGGATGTTTCTGCTCTGTCCTTTTTTCTCTTTCCTCCGCTGTAGAATTAACAAGTGATGGAGATCTTGAATTAATTTACTAATTGTGTTTGAACTGTGGGTGTACCCCAACCCCTTACCTACGCGGGATACCTGTGGCACTGTTGGAAAATAAGTGCATGTAAATAAATTAGTTATGAGTTTTGTTCCAAAGAGATATAAACTAAGAGCTCCCACTTTACTCAAGTAGTTAAGGGGCAAGATATGGAATAGTCTCTTTTTGCGAATTTCCTTTGTAGTCTCTATTCTCTCTATATAGCCACATGGGGTAAATGTCAACGTCTCAGTATAGATGCTACTTGAAATTTGTACCAAAGTTCTCACTGTGGAAAGGTTGGTGACTTGTCTTCGTTATGGGACTTTAGGTTTTTATAAGCTCACTAATCTGCAATATATAATGTTATCCTTGTTCTGTTTTTGGGGTGCAACAGAAAGCACTTTCCCTGCATTAGCTTTCCCTAGTAATGCTTGACTTTGTTTGGCTTGTGTTACAAATGCAGAGTAAAAGCAAGGTGGAGAAGATCAAGTCTTCCGTGGTACTGCCTTTCCATCATTTCTCAGGTGGTGCAAATCCTCCAGCAAGTAGCCTTCCAGTAGCAAAATCGGTGGAACCTGAAGCGGAAATCATGTGCGAGGATCCTGCGTCTCGGATGGAGGAAGTGATTCAGCTGGACACTGGAACAGATGACCCAGAAAACGGCAACGCAGATGGACAGAGTGAGTGCAAACCTGGAGATACCGATGTGTGTAGCTCCCCTCCTGAGCTTTCCTCTGGCATCGAGCAGCGCTTCAGATCCCTCAACGAGAGCAGAGACCTTCAACAGAAGCACCAAGCACTGGAAGAACCAGAATTTAATGATCAGCTGAAGGCCTTCGATTACGCTGAAGCTAGAAAGAATACTTCATTTGGAGAGGTTAGATCTGAGAGAAGAAAGGACAATGCAGTTGCCAGGGCCATCAATGCGGATTCTGGAGATAAACGGAAAAGTTCGAAACAAACCCCCGATGCTGGTGGCGGCGAAGAGGATGAGGGGAATTTCCAGAATCCACGAAGGCGACAGGCTTTCCCACCTTCTGGCAACCGGAGTGATACGTACCATTAGTTAGTTGAGAGATGTACTACCCGACCGAGGCATTGTATGTAACCTAAAGAGTACAGGGGGAAGTGGAACAACGCGCATGATTTGGCATTCGTCGGTAAGTCATTGGAAATGCTTTCTGTGAGATACTATGGAGGCCTGTTTGATGACTAACACAATTGATCGCTTCCAACCTTCTTCTGGTTGTTTGACTAACACAAAAAAAATCTCATTGAAAAGGAAACTACTATGACATCAGTTCTCATGGAAACCATGCATTAATTCCAGTGTTTATTTTTCTGCATGTAACTCCTTTTTTTTTGAGGGAATTGTGCATGTAATTCCTTTTTTTAGGGGTGTGCATGTAATTCCTGTTTTCCAAAGAGTCTGATTATTTACTTATTAATCCAGGATGTCTGACTCATATACATCTAATACCCCTCTTACTGGGGTATCATATCAAGTAGCATGCATCATCTATTTGGGTATCATATCAAGTACTCCCTCCGTTTCCAAATATTTGTCTTTCTAGAGATTTCAACAAGTGACTACATACGGAGCAAAATGAGTGAATCTACACTCTAAAATATGTCTACATACATCCGTATGTTATGTCCATTTAAAATCCCTAGAAAGACAAATATTTGGGAATGGAGGGAGTAGCATGCATCATGCTAATTAGGTAATTTGGATGAGATGACGTATAATTAAACTAAGAAAAATATGCTTTATGTCACCGCTTCTTCTTCCAGGCTGCTACCTTCCCCTTCCCCCCTTCTCCGAGCTGATGTGCATCAACGTTCATCCCGATCCCGGGATGGCCTAGGCGATCATGCCAGGTTTGAAATGCATCAACATTTTGAAAATTTACTTTGTATGCAACATGTTCTACGGGTTTGATGTACGTATAGTACAAACCTGATGATAGAGAAGGAATTTTTTCATGTACCTGCTTGCCATATCCGTGATCTTTGGTGAAGAGTAGATACTCCTCTTTGTTGTCTTCATGAGTTTCAATGTGAAAGCCATTTTTACGGATATCTCGATAACTGATCAGGGTACGTGATGAGTCGGGATACAACAAAGCATCCTCAATTGTCACTTGTGTACCACCTGGGAGGGTAAATATGGCACGTCCAGTGCCAACGATTACCGTATCGCGTCCAGCGATAGTTAGAATATCTCCATTCATCTTTTTCAGAGTTTGAAAATATTTCGTCTCCCTCAGTATGGAGTTTGTGGTTGCACTATCCACAAGGCATAATTCCTCTTCCATCGGATTGTCACCGTAGAGAACTATATATAAAACAAAGAACTTTCAATAAGAAAATCTCATGTAAATACATAGAATACAATCTTATTTATATCAAATATGTTAGTACAATTACAATCTTATTATATCAAATGTGCTGATACAATATAAGGACAACAACAATACTTATATTCTTATTACAACATCACAAATGGACATAGCTAAATAGATCACTATGAAGATTGTGGGACTAGTCAAAGTCTCCAAACACTTCGTTTGAGGTGTACTCAATCATCATGTTTTCCGTGTCGGCAAGGTCCTCTGGTTGATGGAACACAATGGTGTTGCTCGGTCCAGGAGGAACGTCGTGCGAACTACCGGCTCCATTGGTGCTGTCTGAATGAAGGTTGAAATTGGCTTCGAACCTCTTCCCTTGAGGTGCTTTGCGTCTCTGAGATTGCTGGTACAACATAACCAGATGCTTTGAGATCTTGCACTTGTCGGTGGGGTGCGTGTAGCATCCACACTTGTTGCAAAGCAGAGATTTATCATGCTTGGGCTTTGCAGTGCCTTTTCCCTTGTCTGAGTTCCTAGACCTCCTGTTCCTAATGCGCTTTCGCTTGTTCTGGACATTTGATTGATTGCCTCTAAAGGCACCATCAAACTTCTGTCTATTCGCGACATTCATATGAACTTCAGGTAAAGGTTGTGCCCCAACTGGGCGTTGAGAGCCATTCTTAGCGAGTAGCTCATCATGCTTTTCAGCCTGAAGTAACATATGAATAAGCTCGGAATAGACAATATAGTTGCGAGCACCGTATTGCTGCTGGAGGATCCTGTCTGAAGGGAGCATAGTAGATAAAGTTTTCTCTATCTTCTCCGCGTCAGTAGGTTCCTTCCCGCAAAAACGCAGTTTGGAACTTATCTTATGAACCTTGTGGTTGTACTCACCGATGGACTTGAAATCCTGAAGACGAAGGTGAGTCCAATCATGGAGTGCTTCTGGCAGGACAACTGCCTTCTGCTGTTCATATCTTGTTTTGAGGGCTAGAAACAGAGTACTGGGAGATTCCTCCTCTAAGTATTCAGACTTAAGATCTGGGTGAATATGATGCCTTATGATGTATAAAGCTGCATAGTTTTGTTGTTCTGTCAGCGGCGTGGTTCCGGCCGGTAGAGGAGTCTCCGGGTCCTGGATTGCACGCGCTATCCCACGGGAAGCAAGACTGATCTTGACGTCCATGGCCCATGTAGGGTAGTTGTGGCCATTGAGGGCAAGCTCCTCAAATTCTTTTGCGGTCATCGTTTACCTACATGGATGAACCAGAGATAATTAATTTACTAGGGTAAATTAAAAACCATCATGGTTGTATTGTAATAATGGTGCAAAATTTGATACTCAAGTGAAGAACTTGAATAATGTAGACCTCAATTGATTGAACATAACACGTCCAAGATCGCATGGATCTCAGAGTAATATGCTACATAATCTGACAATGTCAGTAGATGCATTTGTTTCTATTACTGTGTGTATGTTATCAATTCAAATATAAGGAAATGCACATTCAAGGTAATCATTTGTCGAATTGGACAAAATATAGACCGTGATTCCAAATATAATGAGGGAGGCGTGTATCAAAAATTTGCAAGTTTGTTGTACGAGAGAAATTAATCTCAATCGTTGGAACATGTTCTAGAAAATTGGAATGTGGTAAACACATTGAACATGACATTTCTAGATAATGTTGGTCCTTTATTTACATTATCAAATACATTACATAATGTAAACAGCCTACAAATATTTACACAAGTCCTAAAATAGAGTAAATCTAAATACCAGACTAGAATGTAAATAACTACATGTACATAGGCTAAACAGTACTAAAACAGTGATAAATTACTGCTACAACTACTGTTAAAAGGATTAAACAGAAGAAAGAAAGAGAAATTTCTGCAATTCAGCCCGTAGCCAGGGACTATCTGGGCACAGGCCCAAAGCCCACGTGGAGTGGGGGCGGTCGGCTGGCCTTTATACGGCTGGTGATTAGGGATCGAGGGATCCCAATCCTCCCGACCAACTCCTGTGCGCCGCCACCCCCACACACTCCATTGCTGCTTCTCACAAAGTGGTTGCCGACGTGCCTCCTTCTTCCTCGGACGAGGAGATGTAGACGACGCCGGCAGGGACGCCGTTCAGCAGATCGGAGGCAAGGCCGGAGTGGCTGCTTTCACGGCGGTCGATGGCGGTGATGGCGCGACTGAAGAGGCGGCGGCGTCCCTCCATGCTTGCGGAGTCCTGGAGGCGCGGTCGGGCGACCGCGCGCGGGGATGACGGTGCCTCGTCCAGCACGGAGGTGGAGGCGTGCGGGTGCTCGGTGGCGCTGCGACTCGGGCCGGCGCCCACGTCTTCAGGCTGCGCGACCGGCGTCGGGCCAGCGGCTTGGATCGTCCCTCCGGCGCCGTTCGGGAACGGCACAAAGACGAAGAAGCCGGGCTCGTCAGTCGGCGCTGGAGGCGGAGGCAGAATCCGCGTTGGAGCCGCGAGCATGGGCCCGGGGATCTCTTCTCCTGCATGTGCGGGAGGCGCGCTGGGGCTGGCCACCGTTGGGGCGTGGTCACCGGGAGCAGCGGCGCGATGGCCGTGTCTAGGGGCGCGGAGGCCACGTCGAGGGCCGCGTATAGCGGCATGGTGGCCTTGTCCAGCGCCACGGCGTCCGAATCGGCGGCGACGGCGCCCGCCTACTCCATAATGGCCACGGGCTGTGAAACGGCGACGGCGGCCGTCCTCACGGATGAGGCGGAGGAAGAAAGAGATGAGTCCAGGCATCTCACCGTCGGCGAGGCCTTCCTGTGCTCTCGGCAGAGCGTGCGTGATAACGTGTTTGAATGAAAAGATCAACTTGTTTTGATTGATAGAAATAGTACAACTTATATATGTTTGGAAGAGACCCATCGCACAAGACGCGATGGTTGGAACCGATGCAACGGTTAGAGGAGAGGGGAAAAGAGATGTGTCGGTTGCTACAAGACGCCTGCATGCCGCAGGACAAGGGGAGATTTCCCTCTAATTAATATGCGCTAACTAATCACAACAGTTTGACTAACACAAAAAAAATCTCATTGAAAAGAAAACTACTATGACATCAGTTCTCGTGGAAACCATGCATTAATTCCAGTGTTTATTTTTCTGCATGTAACTCTTTTTTTTTGAGGGAATTGTGCATGTAATTCCTTTTTTTAGGGGTGTGCATGTAATTCCTGTTTTCCAAAGAGTCTGATTATTTACTTATTAATCCAGGATGTCTGACTCATATACATCTAATACCCCTCTACTGGGGTATCATATCAAGTAGCATGCATCATCTATTTGGGTATCATATCAAGTACTCCCTCCGTTTTCAAATATTTGTCTTTCTAGAGATTTCAACAAGTAACTACATACGGAGCAAAATGAGTGAATCTACACTCTAAAATATGTCTACATACATCCGTATGTTATGTCCATTTAAAATCCCTAGAAAGACAAATATTTGGGAATGGAGGGAGTAGCATGCATCATGCTAATTAGGTAATTTGGATGAGATGACGTATAATTAAACTAAGAAAAATATGCTTTATGTCACCGCTTCTTCTTCCAGGCTGCTACCTTCCCCTTCCCCCCTTCTCCGAGCTGATGTGCATCCCTCTCGTGTCCTCACCCTTCCAAACATGGCTCCGACGAGCTCTGGCCAGGCAGCCGATGCTACAATGCTGTATACACATAGATGATGAAGTGTAATCGCTGCTCCTTGAAATATGTAGCTAGATGCTCATTGAACCTGTAATATCGTCAGCGAATGTTGATTGTCATGTATTGGATGTGAAAAGAGTTGAAATTACACTTAGAATTCCTTTGTAACATCTATTTATTTCATATTATCATGCCCACTTAGGTAATTATTTGTTGTCTTGTTATTAGATTTCTTAGAAAATGTTCTTCGTGTATAAATAGCTAAAAAACTATGGAATTCTAGCTGAATTTTGGGTCGGCCCTAGGGTACCCAATGGGCTAGCGAGGCCACGGGATTTTGTCAAAATGTGATGTAGGGTGGATACCCTAGGGCCGATCTTTCAAGATTTGAAGGGGATCCCATGCAGAACACGAGGGGAAACACGAGGGGAACGAGCAGATACACTCAAATCAATAAGAAACAATCACACATGTGCTAGATCCATGAACACAAAGAGAGATACATGATTCAAATCCAACAAAGGGGGATACACACGGTAACTAGTTCATCTCTGCGAGGAGGCCTTGAATCCGCGAGGGATCTTCCCGTGAGGGGCCTTGAATCCAAGCGTGGATCTTCTCCGTAGAGGCCGCGTTTTTTCTCGATCGAGTAGAACCACAAGGATGAGCAAAACTGAAAGGTTCGAGAAGAAGGGTCTAGAGGGGGGTGATTAGACCCTCAACAAGTAAAAGTAGCAATTTTTAGGTTCTTTAAGTTGAGGTGGAGATTTAACAAAAGTTTAAGCATTCACAATAGATTTCAAGCAAGCATGACAAGAGTATGAGCAGCGGAAAGAGTAAAGCATGCTAGTTGCAAGAAAGTAAAGGGATGGGATTGGAGTGTGCAAACGCAATGATGACTCGGAGATTTTTGGCGTGGTTTTGATAGGTGGTGCTATCGTACGTCCACGTTGATGGGGACTTCAACCCATGAAGGGTAACAGTTGCGCGAGTCCATGGAGGGCTCCACCCATAAAGGGTCCACGAAGAAGCAATCTTGTCTATCCCACCATGACCATCGCCCATGAAGGACTTGCCTCACTCGGATAGATCTTCACGAAGTAGGCGATCTCCTTTCCCTCACGACTTCTTGGTTCAACTCCACAATCTTGTCGGAGGCTCCCAAGCGACACTTAACCAATCTAGGAGACACCACTCTCCAAAAGATAATAGATGGTGTGTTGATGATGAACTCCTTGCTCTTGTGCTTCAAATAATAGTCTCCCCAACACTCAACTCTCTCTCACAAATTTGGCTATGGTGGAAAGAAGATTTGAGTGGAAAGCAACTTGGGGAAGGCTAGAGATCAAGATTCTTGTGGTAGGATTGAAATATCTTGGTCTCTAACACATGAGTAGGTGGTTCTCTCTCAAGAAATGAGTAGTGAAAGTGTAGGCACGTTCTGATGGCTCTCTCTCATATGGAGAAGGGGGTAGAGGGGTATATATAGCCTCCACACAAAATCCAACCGTTACACACATTTGATCCAACTTGGTCAGACCGAATAGAAGAACTCGATGAGACCGGTTTAGTTCAAAATGTGAATGTTAGGAATCTCGGTGGGACCGATGAGAATAACTCGTTGGGACCGATGTGCTAGGGCTTAGGGCAAACATCAACCCAGTGGCACCGGTTGCATCAACTCGGTTAGACCGAAGTGAAGCAATAAGGCAACAGAGAGGATGTCAAGCAAACTTGGTGGCACCATGCACATTTCGGTGAGACCGAAATAGTTGCAACAGGCAACAAAGAGTTTGCAAGGCCATCTCGGTGAGACCGAAATCCATATCAGTGTGACCGAATTGTCTAGGATTTCTGGCAGTGGCTATGTCAAATGAACTCGATGGTGCCGGATAGATCATTCGGTGGGGCCGAGTTTGACTTTAGTTTTGGACATATTTGGAAATGAGAAAGTGGTTGAGGGCTTTGGAGCAATATCACTAAGCATGTTGGGCAAGTAGACCATTAAAAACACCTCACCCCCTTTTAATAGTATTGGCTTTCCTATGGACTCAATGTGATCTTGGATCACTATAATATAAATGAAGAGTCTTGAGATTTTGCCAACATGTGCCCTTAGCATTTTGATGGGGTTCCACATTCTCCTGTCCTGGCCATGCCACTTGTTGAACTTGTCTGAAATACACTAGGTAAAAGTATTAGTCCAACAAGAGATATGTTGACATTAATTACCAAAATCACCCAGGGAGCACTTGTGTTTTCAATCTCCCCCTTTTTGGTAATTGATGACAACAACATACATCAAAGCTTTAGAGAAAAAATATGAAGAATAACAAGTAAAGCTTTGGAAAGACATGTAACATGCATAGGCTCCCCCTACATGTATGCAATCATGTAAAGATAGACTATAAGAACATGTGAATGCATAAGCATGACAGAGCAAGCAATGAGTTACATGCATCTTGGCTATATGCATCAGAGAAAATTATGTGTATAGGAAGTCTACCTCCATGTTAATGAATCCTTCTTGCAAACACTATGTACATCAGCAAGACATCATCATGCACATGTGTATGATGCATATACTTACCTTGTGGTCTTGGGCTGGCTTTAGAAGGAGTGGACTTGAGAAAATAGGGTTAGATAACATGAGAACACTCTAGATAAAGCAATTTCAGGGAACCACAAGAGTACCAAGACTGGGATGACATGTAATGGGTGAGTACTAGGTACTCTATTTAGATACTGACATGTCCCCAAAAACTTTAAAGATATGCAATGGATTCCAAAGATTTTCTTTCCCTAGATATGGACTCTTTCTCCCCCTGAATATAATGGGAGAAGGTAGGGTGAGAGAAAATCAGAGCAAGAAATGGTAATATTAACCACAGTTAGAGCAACAATGATATGCAAAATCAGTAACTAATATCAAACATATTGACATGTGAAAGTGTGTTACGTCGACTAGAGGGGGGTGAATAGGCGATTTTTATGAATTCTTCACTGAGGAATTTCAGGGTGAGGAAATCCTAAGCGAAGAACTACTTCCAGCGGAATAAGTACTCATGTATAAGCATAACAGAGGAACAACATAGTCATCATGATAAAATGAAAGACAAACACAGAGTACAGAAAGCGTAAACACATGATAAGCAGGATGAAGACAAACAGACTGAACAAATAGGATTGAGGAATTAGGGAAAGTCTTCAGTCAAAGTCTTCAAACAGTAATGATCAGGTACATCAACACATAACAGAGGAAATGAAAGGGTTGAGGAAATAGAACCGGTTCGTTTGGTGAAGACAAAGATTTGGTAGACCAGTTCCAACTGTTGTGGCAGTTGTACATCTGGTTGGAGCAGCTGAGTATTTAAACTCGGTGACACACAGTCCTGGACACACAGTCCTCACCATATTCTCTTTGAGCTAAGATCACACAGACCTCGCCCAACAGTAGTGGTAAGTCTTCACAGGTGACTTCCAAACCTTCACAGACTTGATCACTCAGCAATCCACAATTCCTCTTGGATGCTCAAACCATGACGCCTAACCATCTGGAGGATACACAGTCCTCAAAGGTAACAAGCGTCGATTCCACACAGGAACAATCTCTTCAGTGATGCTCAATCACTTTGGGGTTTGTAGGTTTGGGTTTGGGATTTGGGTTTTCCCCACTTGATGATTTTCTCTCAAAGTCCTCAGAGGATGGGATGCTCTCAAATGACAAGTGTCAGTTTCTCTCGAGCAGCCAACCAGCTAGTGGTTGTAGGGGGCGGCTATTTATAGCCTAGGGAGCAGCTCGACATGATAAGACATAAATGTCCTTGTCTGATATGACCGTTAGGTGGTAGGATATTTTGGGACAGCTGGTGCGTGGCACAACAACGATCGGATTTGAGGTTCGAATTCCTAAGTGCTATCATGTTCCTCACTGTGTAGGCAATCCACACTGGCGAATTCCTAACTCCTCAGTCAGAACAAATTCCTCAGAGACCAGAAGATCTTCGTCTCTGTCACTAAAGAAATTGACTGAACTGATATGAGATTTCCAATGGCTTCACTCGAAGGATTGGGTAGGTGTAGGATTTTGAGATGAG